TCCCTATTAAGTTGAATAGTGAAGACAAAAGAAAAATAAGCAAAGATCGATAGTGACTACCAGTGGAATCTGGGCAACGCGTTTCGTCCCATTTGGGGCTTATCAGCTGAATGTGCCTGCACCATGGAATCGATGTTCACTCTGGGACTCAAAGCCAATACCGTTGACTTCAAACGCCATCACCTTATCCGCTTAGCTACTGGGTCCTGATAGCCTCTTTCAGGTACATCCAGCTGACGAGTCCCAAATAGGACGAAACGCGCATCATCGATTCCACTGCTAGACACTATCCATCTTTATTTATAATTCTTGTGAATTAAGGCAATATCAAGGCAATCCACACAGCATGCACATATACCAATAAGATATTGATCAGTTGCAGTGCTAAATATCAATAAAAAGATTCAAGTAATCACACAACTAAACTTATGTAAACAATTTATTGTACTGATGGCTGTTGCATTGTTTCAATCTGTTGTTTATAATACCATATAGTTTGTATTCGAAGATCGTGAAACAATCTAATTTTGCAAATTTAAACATTTGAATGTTTTATTCAAGTTTATATAATCCTGAAAAGCTAATAAATATTGAAGTTAAATGATATTTTTTTAAACAAATCTTGACAGGGTAACCGAAGGAGTAATTGATTAGAATGTGAATAACTTATGAAACTGACAACAGGTACTACTCAATTTATATAAATCTAATTGTCGACATGTATAAACCGCATGTAAATTATTTGTACTGTCGTCATTTTGATTTATATTTAGCATCAAGTAAATCTTCATCTATTGTTTTCCTGCACTTATTTGCTAAGTGTGATATACAATTTTCCACCTTTATATTAAATCTCCTTCATGTGAATACCAGATATACATTGTGAAATTTTCATGATATTTTCAACGCATCTGTCTACGGTATATTGCTAATTTTATTATATTTTTTTGGTCTTGAAAAAGTTGCAAGAAAATCAATGCTAAGTTACTTATTGATTATTTAGCGTTTTTAGCGTTTTTTTAGCGAGTTTGTTTTCTACGGGATGGGATCGCTAAACCCATGCCCAACTCTCCTCCTTTATCCGGGCTTGGGACTGACAGTAGCCCCCGAAGGGACTCCAGGTGGAGTTACTCATTGATTATTAAGTCCGAAATATTTTTCAAACAAAAGCTACTGCTTTCGGAAATTAGATATTTTGAGATCGCTGATAAGTGGCCTATGCTCCTCCATGAGAAGTAATAGGTGTAAGTAAGTAAGTAAGATATGTTTATGATTTGCTTATAGACTAATAAATCATATTCACTATGAATTGTGTTACCTATTAATGAATAAATAGATAATGATATTTTGAGATAAAAGGCATAGTATAATTCAGGATATAAATTTTAATAATTCTACTAGTCTTTGGATAAATTTAATCCTTACTTTACTTTGTCGTAATGCATAAATTCACATTTATTTCTGAAAAATAAATAATTGTTTGAAGTAGATATTCATTTACTTTAAGTAATGGGAATATTCAATTAAAAGTTAGTAATTTTGTAACTTATATAGATTTAGCCTACATTCTTTATTTTATGCAATAGAATTATAAATTTAAAATTTATTCATGCATAGACAGAATGTATTCTACAGTTCAATAATTTAATTCACCTGAGGATTAAAGATGAAAAAAAAATACAGTTAGAAGGGAATCATGGATCAATATTATACTTTAAATTCAGAAGCAACCTGTTGGTAAATTACATCTCATAAAGAACTTATTTACGTGCAATTTGCATAGCTTGTTGTGACATAACAAGACTTAGGAGTAAATTTTAACTCAAATTTGACATTTTGCATGGTTTTCAGAGTTGCTTATGATAAGTGAATATCATTGAATAATTGTATAGTAGATTATATACTTCATGTAGTTTTGCTTGTTTCAGTTTTTAAAGAAACTCTTGAAGTATCTGCAATGTTCTCCAATAAGGAAAAGGGTTGACTGGAGGATCGTTTTTCGCTTTGTGACCTTTATATTCACTGAGGAAACTAACATGTGACTTAACAACTCAAACTATTTCGATTAAGTATTTGGTATAAAACTGAATGTCGTATTTCCCTGATACGTTTTTAGTTTTTATTCTGTTTTTAAACCCTGTTTGATTAAAATCTGAAAATCGAATTCATCGACAAATTATTTTGTTTAAATTTTGGGTTCAGGCATTCTATCGTAATCATGTTTACGTCGTGAAATCACTTATTAACAAAGTTTTTAATTTATTACACATATATGACGTCTTCAGAAAAAAGTATGATAAAAAATAAAATGATTTCTGTGTTACCCTTTTGATTAGTAATAAATGAATATTCTTTGCAGAATTAAACTGTTAATGATTTGATTTGGATTATTACTTTCAACACAATTAAATGGAATATTTCATAGCACGTAAAAGAGAGATTGAAGTTCTTAAATTAAGATTCTGACATAAAAACACTTACAAATTCATATGAGTTGGTTTTGATAGAAATTTCATAGACTTAAGAGTCGTCAGAATCGCTACTATTGTGGTGTGTGCTACTGTTATCGACAGATATATGCAGTATGTATCATTAATCGAAAGTGCAATACCTGGAGGCAGAAGGTTAAGAAGATCAACGAATGAGAACGAGAATAATAAATGATTGGTGTAGAAACGAAGGAACAATAAAGTCTGAGACGATTAACTGATATTTGCAAAAAGAACTGTCACGTTTCACACAATTGATTGACATTTTTTCAGATGAAGTATTTACTGTATGGTACACAAATTTTACAAAGATGTCCTGTAATTTTGTATTCACATATATTTAATTGTTCCCACTTATGTTCTCGTTCACTACACTATACTTCTTTTAATAAATATTTTACCTCACATGTATATGTATATATAAGTATGTATATACATGCCTATTTCTTAATTTCTTTTACTGAAAACTTACTTTTATCAATTCAAGTAATCTGTTTTATCAACAATTCGTTTTATTATTTTCAAGGTTAAACTCACTAGTATACTTCCCACGTGTTCAATTCGTTGGAGTTGATATCTAAAAGTCTATTAAGTAGTAAACGAATTATTTATTTTTTTGTGATTAATCAAATCAGATATTTCTACTCAAATGTTTATGATTATTGTCGAAAGGAGTTTTGTGTTTATATTCATATTTTGTAGCATTAGATAAGAATTAATTATTATGCTTTCGAGCATATTTATATGCTTTACCTTTCATGTCTTAGTAACAAAATGTAATCAAATAAATTTTATTGTATTACCTAGTACGTCAACATTCATATAATAATATTACGTTATAAATAATTCAATGTTCTATCATAAAGAACAACAGACTTACTGAATATATCATGACAACACTTATAGATAATTAGTTACACAAATACATAGTGTTAATACATCAGAAATTTCATAATAAATAAACTATACAATAAACAGTCAAGTATAAGTAATCATTAAAATTGACTAGACATATGAATTAATAAACAAACATAGAATATTGTCACTAAGAGATTATGATTGGATATGATAGTAATTTAATAATTGAGTTCATAAGTCAATTGAAACTAGACATAGATTATAGTTTTTGCATCAAATCATATGAATGATATAAATTAGATTAGACTAAATTTTAGTAATTTGAAAAATAGACTTTGAAAATGGAAAAAAACAAACTTATCTTTTATTATATATATATATACATATATATTATCCAGAAATAAAAACGACTCTTTATACGCCTTTATAAAAATATCTATTATCTAATGTAATGAAACTCAATTTCTTTTGAAGTACACCATAAGAATATTAAAACTTAAGCTTTAAGAAAATTTTCCCAATTCTAAATTACTAGTTTACTTACTGCAAAAAAAAAACAAGAAAAAGTAAACGAGACAAGTACTTTTTATGGATATAAAATGTAAAATCAATTTTTTCTCCTAGAAACAAAACAACTAAGCTTATTTACTTATTCTTACAATGCCCTATGGACTTATTGATTTTTTTAAATTTTTTTTGATTATTTTCATTATATCTTTTATTGTATCATCATTCTGTTATATAAATTAACTAATCATTCGAGATTTAGATCAGATAAAATTTTCAATAATTAATACTTTTGATTGAAATCATAAACCATCATTAAAAATCTAGAAGCACTGGACGTCCTTTCGCTATGTTTTGGGACTCTAGTAGTTTGTATGCACGGTTACGCTCAAAAGATTCGAACCCAGAGCCTTCGGTCTCGCGCGCAAATGCTTAACCTCTAGACTACTGAGCCGTATCCAATGTTGTTGATGTCTAACCCCAACCAATTCACGAAATTGCGTCACCACCTTCCATTATACTGAGGTAGATATCTGTCTCTATGTGAGGGGGAATCCTCAGAGTTCTAGTGAGAAGTGACCGATAAAGTTAATCCATGTCGGCCGTCTAGTGTTTCCAGGTTCTCAATGGTGGTCTAACATCAATCAAAAACGTATTAATCTCCACAATTCTTTAGTGGTAATAATTTATTAATTTCTCTATATCTCCTAGTATATAGAAATAAAAATTAACATTATATGTCTATAAAATGCCTGCTACCGAAAATATCAAAATATTTTATTGAAACATTATGAATTTATCCAATTTCTTTAATATCAGCCTATACATTCCAAATTGTTTCGCTGTTGAATATTTAATCAACAAACCAAATAAAACAATAAAAACGTACAATCAATATATTTCTTTAGACTAATTCTATATTTTGACTTATAATATTACGTAATTCAGTGATGTTTAACCAACAATATTCACTTTTACTTCTAATAAAACAATTGTGCTAACCATTTGTGAGACAACAGTTGTTAATAATTAATAATAAATATATAACTTAACAGCTTTTCACTGTAATTGCCTTTTGGAAATTATTATTGTTTTATTGATTTTAATTATCAAGTTATTTTTGATTTTTCTAAAATTTATTTTCAGAAATTAACACTTAAAGATTTTGCATCTGAAGTGAGAGCGAATCTAGATATTGATATGTTTATAAAAGAAGCAACCCTTTTATTGGATTTGGATGGATCCACGTTAGAGGATATAATTAGTTCAATGTTAGAAGCAGTTTTTAATAATCGTCCTATTGTTGATACAGCAGCATCAACAACAAATACAACAGCGAACATGACGCCAAGTAGTCCTAGTTCTCCTGATGATACCGATTCAGTTCAATGGTCAAGAACTTCAGCGACTACAACTAGTGGTTTTGGACAAAAAGTAAATTTTTCAATAACTGGAAATTCAGATAAAACTAATTTATCAAAACTGGATATTGAAAATATGAAACTTGAAGCTAAAAATTCTCTTATGATGCAGATTAGTTATGAGGGATATACATGTAAGTTATATCTTTGCTTACAAATCAAAACGCTGTACATATAATGCTTACATTTTGCTGTCTCTTTTGTATGGTACTGTTTAGCATATACTCCAGTTTAAACTAAATCCTCCCCAACCATCATTTGTATGCAAATCATGAAATTTATGTCATTAAATGAAATGATCATGTATCCTTAAAGAAACGCAGTACTGTTGTCGATTCTCTATGACCGTTAATAGTTTGGTAGATTCTTTCGGTCTCAAAGAATTCAAAGTAAAAAAAGATTTTTTTTAGAATCAGCAGTAAGAACTATATAACGCGATACTAGGTACTATAAAATAGTCTAGCGTTAAAGAATTGGTCCATATAAATAATTGTAAAACTGTTAATGAATAATTTTCAGAGACTGTCATCGCTGTAATCATTTTTTACTTTACTCTTTATTCTCCAAGTTGATTAATGTTGAAATTTAGCGGATTAAGTTGAAGTCTGATAAAAAAGCATTTGGGATGTAACGATTTATCGTTTTGATGGCTGATAAATGATTTTTCATAATGAAACCAATACATTCCACCTTCCTTCCGTAAGAATAACAGCTGTAGTATATTGACATGCAAGAGACTAATTCCCTTTACAAACTCATCAATAATCATTCCAATAAACTTGGATATAGATTTGAAATGTTTCGTTTGGTTGAAAGTTCTCAAGCGGAATAAGCAATATTCTTCATATCTGCTTATAGTATTCTGTAATTTCTAAACTATATAATTTTCTGATTACATACTCACCATCCATGGAATAACGTTACATATCAATCAGTTATCTCTCCAAATAATTTTCAACAGTAAATACTTTTTTCGGATAAATAACAGTACATTATGCTCATTGTTCAACTGTCTTTGAGCATCATGTGTAAATTTTACTTCCAGTAATAATTTAAACATGTTCAGTTTAAACAAATTATTCGTAAAATGAACTATAGTTTTAGCCCATTTTATTGTTGTACAACATTTGATACTTTGAGAACCATAAGAAACTTTATGTCGTAGTTTTGTATAAACTCTGACAATACTTAAAACATCATTCACTGGTAATCTCTTCAAAGAATGTTTTGTCGTCAACCGGTAATTTTTTAAGTTGTTTTCCTCTTACAGTGCAAAACACACCAGTGAGGAATACCTGATAAGATACCTTTGAGCTAATCTGTAGTTGTAAAAGCTTTGATACTTTTATTCACTGAATTTTACAGAAAGTAATATAACTAACATTCAAAAATAACTGATGTTAAGCGTTTCCACTAAACACTATTTATTATTATATTAAAAGATGGGGTGAGTAAAGAGTCAAAACTTTAAGTGACTGTCATCACGACACATGTAAAATGTAAAACTTCATTTAAGTAGTTTACTGATGGATAAATTTTGCCTGTACTTAAACATATATTTCATTGACACATAAATTAGTTATGCTTGAATGACTTAAACATTATTAGTACTTTTGTGTCCAAGATTTATTTATTGCTATTTAACCCTTTGAAATAATGGAGACCAATTTTACATGAATATGTTATCATGAGAATACTTAAATAAAAGGTTTGTCTTTACTTCAAGCTTCTGCAATTATTTCATAGATAAAATTTAAGAAATAAATATATTATCAATGATGATTTAATTCAGCACAATGAATAGGGGACATAATGAATGAAAACTAATATCAGTAGTTTCATTATTTTCTTGAAAAATAGAATTAGGTTGTGATGAACGAGAACTAAAGTGAGGACAACCAATTTATTGTTTAAAACAAAATTACAAAGTTCTTTCGTAAAATGTGAAAACCATACATTCAATACTTCATTTGCGAATCTGCCCTCAATTGTCTCAAACTTCATCGTACCTTCGTTGTTATCATAATTATTCTCTGTTCTCGTTCTCTTGGACTTGATCTCAACCTTCTACTGTCAGGGATTCCACTTCTGATTAGTGATACATACTACTTATATCTGTCGACACTAGTACCATTCACAACAAGATAAATTCAGAATATCCAGTTCCTGAAGACATTGTGCAAAACGTTTTCTCGCATTTAAGTATGTTAAGGGGATACAAAAAGTTAAACTGATAATAAATTAATGGAAGAAAGCTTATTCTGAATTAAGCAGGATTAATTGAGAATAGGGAAAAATCCTATTTTATGTAAATTACTTGGAAAAGAAAAAGTAATTTGAAATTTAACCAAAAAAACAACTAGAATTATTGGTTAAAATCAAAAGTGAACAATGATAAAGAGAGCCATTTTGCTACTAAATTCACATAAGCTAATAGTACAAAATAATGAATTCCTTTTACCAAAAACCGGCTTTAATCTTCCTTATGGAGTAAGTTAACTAGTTCTTTTTTCTAGATGTCCGGTTTGTGAAGCTTATTTGACAGAATCTTGTGAAATTAAATCAAATCGTTTTCGATCAGATGAATAAATGCTTGTCTCTACAATAGTTAACAATGAAATTATGGTTGAATTTACTTCCACCGTCTTCAGTGCACAATGTATGTTTTATATCTAGCAATTTCGTCCAACTTCCTATTTAGCTAGTGGGTGCTTTTAGTAGAATGTACTTTTTGTTAGAAGCTTGAATTGAAAATCTGATCTTCGCTATGTATGCTTTTCTTAGCCGCGGTAGACTGAAAGGTTCATAGCAAGTAGTTGTGGTTAATTCCATACATCTAAAATTAATTCTAAAATGAAAGTTACGTTTCAATTTATAAGACTCGCAAAATAAATGAGATAGCAAAACAATTGAAAGCACCAAACACAACGTTTTCATTTGATATTAAAAACCATTGTAACAACGTAATAATTTTCTGTTTGAACATTTCATGTCTTATTGAAGATGATCTCAACAAAACACTCAGCAATCTTCACAACCCTGTACTGATAATTAGCATGTGCTCACTAGTGACTAGATTCGAAAAGTAATTATTGAAGTTCTTGTGAGAAACGTCAAACTGAAGGTCCTGTGTCGAAGTCTGGCGTGCTGTGTAGTGAGGATGCACTTCTGGGGAGTTCTAAATTAAGACGAAATGGCCGTCCAGCGCATCTATGTTTTTAATAAAGGTCTATCATAAGTCGATTCATGATCATAATTAAAATTTAACCATCTCCACAACCTTATACTGATAATAAACTAATTTATCTATTATCGGCTAAAGCATTTGGAGACCAGTATAATAACATTAAGATGTCATCATTTTGTCAAATAAGTATTACAGAACTTTCTGGAAATTCAAACAAACTAGGTGTTGCAAGATCGTAAAGTAAAACATTTTTAGGTAATGAATAGTGAAAATTCCAAACATATTCTACAATCATAAACAAAATTTATGAAAATTTCAACTGGTTTTACACGACATAATGAACATTACTTAATAAACATTTACAGCATAATCAATACCTTTGACATGAAATTTCACTAATTTCATTATGATTAATGAATAGATATTGTTATACGAGTCTCAGAAAGTTCAAACGTTACTGTTCCTCTTACTATTTCACTGGAAATAAAACTTTTTGAACTAATTATTTGATAAGACATTTCCTCTAAGATTTACACTAGTTTCAGTTAATTTCTTAGACAGTAGTTTCATCATACTTTATTTGATCAGTTTTCATGCAGTGAGTTTATTATGTGTTTTGTTTTTTTTCTAGATCAAAGGCTCGCAAAAACAATTAAAGGAGTTTCATTGAGAGATGGTGATTGTTTGTCAACCGATCAAAGTTGGATTTGTGCCATGTAAGTAGTCACCCTGAACAATAATAATAATAGCAGCACTCAAATGGTACAACCATTCATATATATTAACTAATATGAAGTTTGTTTTTTCAACTATAGTGATATTAGGACTAACTGAATCCATTTATCGATAAATAATCAAAACTTTCATTTACCACAGACTGATGAATTTTCTAAACTATCGTTTAGAAATTATTTGCTTAACTCAAAATTAGTCACCTTAAGGGTTATTTCAGATCAGTAACTTTAAACAAACTGTATTGCTGCTGTTTCTTTTATTAAAATATATCCTTGCTATTTAAATCTTTAACCAAATAGCTTTCAGTTTCAATTTCAGTGTTGATTATTAGATCATGAAAACTATTCATAAGTGCCTGATAGATAATCAAACTTTCAATTAGTTTGAAATACAGAAACATGACATTATTCTTTTTACAGTGTTCAAGGAAAAATAAGTATCCAAACATTGGTTCAAAAAAATAATGATTTCAGACAGTAATACGATAATAAACAATTAATTCTAAATTGTTTACTTCATTAAAACCCTAGGACATGTGTTCATCATTATGTAGATGTGTCTTTTAGAAATTTTTTAATAAACGGAATACACCCATTAAGATTTTAAATAAAAAAGATTAGTTCAGTGAAGAGTTCGCTTTTCGGCAAATTCATTTTCAAAGCTGTGCAATCACAATTATACATACTTATTTTACAGGATGATAATAATCACAATAATACTGATAATAAACTTTTGTTAGATATGGTGACAGTGAGATAAAATAAGCAAAGGTATTGAAAAAATTTTTTAAACAAGGAAAGTTTAACAGTTTTTTGTTGTTAATGGCCTTGTTTAATTTACCTCACTGTCACCATGTCTAACAGAAGTTCATTATCAGTATTATTGTAATTTATTATCATCCTGTAAAATAAGTAAATATATTTGTATTTGCACAGCTCTGAAAATGAATTTGCCAAAAAGCAAACTCTTCACTGATCTAATCTTTCTTATTTAATATCTTTTAGAAATAACTGTATAAAGTTGCTTAATATTAGAATACTTTACGCAAAACAATTAATTGTTACTTGAACTGTATTTACCATGTAATAGGATTATTTCAAATTGTTTCTACTACTTGAATTAGGTGTTCATTAAGATCAATTCATAAACGTTATCTTGCTTTGGCACGATTAAATAATCCAGTTAATTTTGGCAGGTCAAGTGAAGGAACTTATTTGATTGTACTTATAATAACACCAACGAAAGAGGTAATTTTGTTTTAATTTTGATGTTTGTATACATTATATTGAATTTTGATGGTGAGAATAAGTTAACAGCCAGTAAATAATTATTAATATAATAGTTGGATTCATGAGTCAATTAAGGCTGGACCACCATGGAAAAACTGGAAAAACTGGACACTCGTTTCTTCCTACTGCGAAACTTCTCAGCAGTGCACATCCCCGATCTTGCCACGCAGGATTCGAACCCAGAGCTTATCAGACTTGAGCACGAACGCCTAAGATCTAGACCATTGATCCGGCATCCAACGGTGTTAATGTTTAACTTTAACCAATTCACGAAATTGAGACACCGTACACAATTGTCTTCAGTGATTTACTATCTCCACTGGTCAGGACTACTCACTAGAACTCGAGGAAATATCTCCTGAAGCTAGGCACTAGTTAGCATATGATTATTATTATTATCAGAAACGACCGTTCAGTGCTTCCGTGCTTTTCATGTTGGTCTAGATTTAATTGACCCATGAACTCAACTAATAAATTACTACAATATCCACAAGATCCCATTCTGATAAAAATTATTATTCTCTTTAATATCAAATTCATGACTAAGAGTTTTGAAATATTATCAGGTGAACTAATTACAGTAACTTCAAATTAATTAACGGTCAATATTACTCATTTAATTCAAACGACTGAGTTTATAAACATATTTAATTAATAAGGAAAAAAAAGACACTAATGTTTAGTTTTTAGTTGCTGTACCAGATTTCGATTTTGAAATAGATTCAATATCTTATTTTATTGTAGAATCACTGGAATATGCATCTTAACTATTGTAATTTAAATTTAGATTTACTGAACGCAACATTCATTGAAACGCTAATTTGTAGATTTATTTCTTTGTTTATGATTTCATTTGTTAACTACGTTAGAATTTTACATCTACACGGGATAAAAATAATCTTTTCAAGTGATTATAATTGAATTAATAAGAAACATTTCAGCAGTATTGTTGTGAACGAGAACAAAGGCTGGGATAACCAAATGTATTTTAACACAACATTATAGAATATCTTAGTAAAACCTGAGAACCGTACAGTCAATACTCCATTTATAAATGTCGGTCAATTATCTCAGACTTCATTATTCCTTTGTTTACACGCAAATCACTATCTGTCCTCGTTCTCTTTTTTTCGATTTTCTTAACATTCTGCCGCCAGGCATTTCACTCTCGATTGGCAATACTACTCATATCTGTTGATATCAGTAACACACTATAGTATTGCAAAGCCATTTGAAGAATCTCCTTGGTGTACAAACAGATTGCTGAATAAAACCAAAGGGTTACAACATTTCTTCAACATTACATTTTAGAATATTTTCACAGATAACTCGATTACGAACAGTTCAAAAAATATTTTGTTATCATCAATCAAACCACATACATTTATTTATTCACTAGATAGTTAACTCATCTATTTGATTTTTTTCATCTTTAGAAAGGTACAAAAAGTGAAATTGAAGTTGGTCGAACATTTGGCACAATTCTATCTGATCCAATATTTCGGCAAGAATTATTATTTGCTACTGATGAAAAAGAAGTAAAATTACTATTATGGGATAGAGCACAACAATTGGCAGCGCAACAGTCAACTGATAGACGTAGATCATCACAATATCTTGATATTAGAAATCAAACTATTGATCTAGTGAGTTATTAGTAACAGAAGAAAAACAATTATTATTATTAATATCAGAAGGGCTTTTTATGGATATCATAGTGATGTTAATAGATGGAATTATGAGTTACGAAACCAACATGTCCTAGGTTCGAATCACGTAAGCGGGATAATGGATGCACACTGCTGAGGAGTCCCATACTAGGACGAAACGGTCGTCCAGTGTTTCCATGTTTTCCATGGTGGTCTAGCTTCAACTGACTCATGATCCCAACTATTCTTATTATTATTATTATTATCATGTCACATGAAAAATATATTTTTCGACTGAATCAAAGATCATAACTACTATAAAATTAAGGTAAAATAATTATTGAATGAATCTTTAAATTGATTTATCTTCCTTTAAAAAGGTAACATTTTCTTTAAAAATATAGAAACATAATGATTTCAATTAATTGAGTAATGATGCTGTTGTAACACACTCCGTAAACAATTAATAAATGAATATTGTTTAGTAAATAAAGAACAAAACGATGTCGACTTCTCTAAATCTTTTTTTCTTATTTAAACAGAGTTCTCAGTCAAAGATTGGCAAAGGAATTTACTTAGATCTAAAGCGTAAAATTCCATATTATTGGTCGGACATAACTGAGGGTATGTTTAGTGTTTCAGAAAATTTTCAATGAAATAACTGAACACTGTGATTGCGTTAGGTCTATTTTAGACGTTTTTATAAATAATAAAAACAAATAGTTTTTGTTATATCTCAATGAGTAAGAAAATTGTACTTCTGACGTTTCGTGACTTAATCTCATCCACTTCTTCAGAGTCAGTAAATAACTCAATTAAATTATCACAAGTTTAAATAGTACAAACTTGTGTTAATTTAATTCAGTTATTTACTGACTCTGAAGAAGCAGCTGAAATTAAGTCACGAAACTTTAGAAGCACAATTTTCTTACTCATTAGGAAATAATGAAAAATATGTTTATTAATAACTCAATTTGTTTGAAATTATTAAGTCCGACCTTGGCATTGATACCTATAAAATCATCATTAATTGAATCGAATTGTCCAAGTTTATGATAAATGATTTACTGGTGTACAATAAAAATAAGTTGTCTTATGAAAATGAGTATTCAACGCGTTCAATTTTTTATTCACCATGAACAGTCGATTCCAAAGAGCTGCTTTTTTCCACCTGTTTTTTTTTATTTTTATGGTTAACTCATTCTAGTAGAGGCTATTTCACTGATTGTATTTGACATCGATTAAGATACTAATGAAAACTAAGAACCGTTTGATATATGTTTTTAGCGTTGCGTACAATCCATTTTGAATCATTATCTACTGAAATGGGGATGAAATCTCCCACGGATATTTGACAATTTAAACTGGTCATGGGACATCTAAATAAAATTATAGTCTCTCCAATTTTCCTCAGTTTTCACTTGTACTCCAAGTGCTATCTTTTCTTGACGAGTACTACCCGAAGAATAACTTAATCTCGCTAAAAAATCTCACCGTAATTGTTCTTGTTCGTGTATTTTTGATGCAACTAAAAGATTTGATTTGTAATTCATCAATTATTGTCGATTCTCTATTCTTTGGTACTGTTACTCCCTATCGTTATCCCGATTTCTGGTAGACGGCTATCACACTTCGCTAAATACTTAGATGATTATTATGATAGTCAGTGATAAATCAACTTAATTCTATTACGAATATGGTAGTGAATAATCTCTTGACATCTTACATGAAAATATTCGGTGTTGCATTTTAATTTTTGGTAGAACAAGAGACTATCGACCGTTGAATTCCATCACAATAATCAGAACGTATCATTCTCATGTTTGATTTCAAGTTGTATCGTAAACGTGTATTACAGGAAAACATCAGACTTTATTCAAAATGATATATATTTTTCTTGATAGCCAATAATCTTTCGACCGATATCAACCCATAATGAAATGTATCTTCAAAGTATTTAAAATATACTGCATAGAAATAAGTTTCTTAGGAAATTAGCAATTTGTGTATTTATCTAGTCATATTCTTCTATTAATGAAAGTATACCATGACGCAAATAATCAACCTTTCAGGCAGAAAAATAAGAAATTCCATTATTTATTCCACTATTTAATAAAGAAAACAGGTTTGATTCAATTATAATATATTACTTTATTTATGTTTCTCACTTATCAAAATTCAAATTAAGGCATCTGTGGAAAAAATACTATGCGTAAAACAATATCAACTATTATATTCCTATACTTTGCTTGTCTACTTCCTTCAATTGCATTTGGATTATTGAATTCCAAAAATACTGATAAAAAGATGGGTAAGTAAGTTTAAATAAATTTGGAAAATATTTTAAAATTAATGACTAGATTTAAATACGTTTTCGTCTATTTCTCAATATAAGGTTGTGGAGATTATTAGATTTTGATTGAGATCATGAACCGATTGATGTAAGACCACCATTGAAAACCTAGAAGCACTGGACGGCTGTTTCGTCCTATTGTGGGACTCCCCAACAGTGCGCATCCACGATCCCGCTAGCGGGATTCGAACCCGGGGTCTTCAGTTTCAAGCGCGAACGCGTAACCTACTGGGGTTAATGTCTAACCTCAACCAATCCACGAAGTTGTGCGACCATCTTCCATTGTACTGAGGTACAAGTGTGTACCTCAGGAGGGGTTTCGCAATAGGACGAAACAGCCGTCTAGTGCTTCCAGGTCTAAGATTAATTGGTTCATGATTTCAGTCAAAAACTTAATAATCTCCAAAACCTCATATTTATAAATGTATAGTTGTACATTTGTTTTCTTCATTCTTGTATTCTATTCTTATACACAATCTTTCTTTTATATATTACCATCGTTGAAGTAACTACTTCCAACGGTGGTCTAACATCAATTGATTCATGATCTCAATCAAAAGCTTAACAATCTCCACAACCCCTATACTTCTATGAACTCAGTGTTCATCTTATTATGCTAATGAGGTGTGGCAACTTGAACCAATGCATATATATATATATACACATATGCCTAGTCCTATGTTGTAGCTGACTGACTGTATACATTTCTTTGAAACCGTTTTTTCTGTTTGTTCATTTGTTTTATATATTTTTTTCTTTTTTTTCTTCTTTTTTTGTTCATATTTTGACATTTTAATCTATTGAAAGAAAAGTTTTCTTTTATAATTTTAAAAGAAAATTTGTTTAGGCATTTTAAGAGACAAAATTTAGAAAAGGGAAAATTGAATTTGACATGTGTAATTTAAATCAAATGACTTTCTTTTTTTTTCTGAAAAAAATTTAAAAAAAGTTTTTAATCAGAATTGATAATCAAATATCAAATTACTTTAGATTTACTTTTAATTATTTACATAGATAATTATAACTTGGTTAGTTTAAATTACTTTTCATTATATAATGAATAAGATATATTCACTGACAGATTTTCATTAAGGTAAATTAATTCCATGAAGGTTTTTAGACTAGCAACAAAATTTCATATCATTAGTTTAAACTTTTTTGAATACATGAGCATGGGATATTGTTTTGTTTTTATGGAAGATTGTTTAAATCATAAGTGTTTACCATTTGTTTGTTTAAATAATAGTTGTAGATTTAAAATTTCTGTATAGTGTATCTTGGTGACATGAATGGTTTTATTATAATAATCGTATAAAATACTTTATCATATATCATATTTCTATAAAGTGATATATTAATCTTAGAAAAGTGTGAACAGAAATAAAAATTAACATCCTATCTGATTAATGAATAACTGTATTACTACTAAACTGACTGATATTATCAATCACGAATTCAGGTTAGAACATTATGGATACCATTTAGTTTCACAGTACTCGTGAATATTTGAACTATATTACCATCAGGAAGTAAGACCATTTTGTGAAAACATTGAATATTCTAACACTTAAGAAAATAGACGTATTTTTTAAATGTGTAAAATTAACAATCTGACTAAGCTCTTGGCAGATACTGTTTTATTTCACTCTCTAGTGTACATTTGAATTAATCATTCAGGTATAGTAGTTATATTTTCATTTGAACATATAATATAAAACAGGTGTAAGGGAAAGTTTATTGCCTCGTCTCACACCATGAAACCAATAAACAAACAATCTACATACCAAGCTTCATAGGAACTGTTGAGGGTGTTAGATCTCCAGAACTCACTTGGTAAATGCCTTAGTTTTGTAATTCTATTTAAAAATTTGGATTTCTTGTTTTCGCGCTAAAAGTACCCATTTTCACTTTCATGTAGTATTTTCCACCTGGAAGGACCTTAGATGCTATTACTTTATTGTCTCTTTTAATATACTATTTTGTAACGTTTCCCAAGGAAATGTTTATGCTGTACATATACGCTTGAGCTGTGCTTATTGTTTTTGTTGTTCGTGCTTCTGGCTGCTTGTGCAATACATTTCCCCCTTCTGAGCCTGGACTTCTCTCTATAGTCAGGGGGGCTGGGACGCATCGGAATAACTAGCTTATTGATCGTCGTATCACTGGTTCTTTTTTTTCACAGATTAGGTGAACTCGTAATCTCTTCAACTATAGCAAGAGAAGGTGACCGCGTATATGTATAGTGATTCAGTCAGTTGTACCTATCTGTTTTTTATACAGAGATATTTGGTTGGATGGCTATTTGTTGTACAGGTCGAACTCTAAAGGTTTTCATCTAATTTATCTGTATACTATAAGATCTTCAATCATTGACGTTTAAAAATTGAGTCTATAATCTAAAATATATCTACTCACATTACTATTCCCATACTGTTCAAAACAGTTTTAGTGAATGAGAACTTGGTAGGGAAAAGCAATTCGTTGTTTAATGCAGAGTTACACAGTGTCTTCGTAAAATATAAAAAGCATACATTAACTACTTTGTTTGCACATCTACCATCAGTTGTCTTCTACATACTTTATGATTCCTCCAATTCCGTTGCGATTTCAATTGCTTTCTGTTTTCAATGTTGTTCTCTTCAATTAATTATTCTGCTGCCAAGTATTGCACTTCGGATTAGTGCAGCACACTGCTTATGTCTGTCAGCATAAGCAGCCAACATCACAACAATTATTGTGATTATTGTACTGAAAATATACGTTTAGTACTTTAAGACAATTTTTCAGAGAATTTCCTGTGTAGCTTATTGTTATTTTACGCTTTCAACTCACCATTCATATAAAAATATATACAAACTACTTAATAGTGTTCTTTTTTCAATTACTACTCTTGTCTGTCGTTATCGACGAGAAATAATTATCGAAATTATTTATGACAAGTTCGAAATTTCTTTTACCTAAACTAAATGTACTTGACTTTTAAACTAGTCTCCAGTGCAATATTTTATACTGATAATGTCTGCTGTAATTATGGGGATTTGTGGAGATCGTAGTATTTTAACTATTAAATTCTAGGTTGCCAATGGTGGTCTAGCTTAGATCGACTCGTGGATTCACCTGTTAAAGTACAGCAATCTCCACAAATCCTCGTACTAATATTAATCGTGTGCTCACTAGCGACTAGCTTCAAGATGGACTTCCTGAAGTTCTAGTGAGAAGCTGTGACCATTGGAGTCCAATCCGTGTTGAGTGTGAGATAGTTATCCACCCCAGATAATAGACTTGACTGAAGTTAGACATTAACACCGTTGGAAACTGGTTCAGTGGTCTAGATGTTAAGAGCGAGTCCGAAGGTTTTGGATCCGAGTCCCTCGTGACGAATCATGTGTGAGCACTTCCGACGAGTTCACTACTATGACAAAACAGCTGTCCAGTGCCTCCAGGTTCTTGGTAGTAGTTTAGGTTAAATAGACTCGTGAATTCAACTGTTAAAATATTTACTGTATTGACTACTATATAATTTTTCTATAATAAACAAAAATTCATGCATAGTCTACGTCAATATTCTGACAGTAATTCACATAAATTCATAGTGACATTTTGTCATATACATATGTACTTATATGTTATTTGAAGTGTATTCATTTATGTCACGAATCATTCTAAACAAATTGAATGACAGTTATGACAGTTAAGAAAATGTAATTTCCTTAAGACAAAAAAATATAGACCATAGTAAACATATATTCAATATTATTTTACCATAATAGTCAGGTAATAATTTTGTCTAACAATAACACATGAGAAAATTCTACATAGAAAAAATATAGGTTGTCTTCTTTCATATATGTATTATTTAGTCAGTAACGTTTCAAACGATAATAACTTTTTGTCAAATTGTATTTCCTCAATGATTTTGTCTTATCCAATATGAAAAATTGCCTGGAATGAAAGTAGAACATAATAAAATGGAATGTTAAGGATTTATTTTTCTGAAGCGTAATTACACTTGTTTAACTTCATAAAAGTACTGTATATGAAAAGGTTAAAAAGTTTTATTTTACTTCATCTTTGCAAATTATCCTTTAGTATCTGTTCTAAATGAATTCAATTAAGTTTCAAATGGCTCAATGATAATGTAACAGGTTATGATACTAGGTGGCAAAGGTTCAAATTCTACAAAGAGTTTCAGTTTCCGCAAAACTGACGAAATTTTTAATTAAAAATGACAACTAACACGAAATCTATATCCAGAGACATCTGACTAGTGTTTTGATCAGTCAATATCACAATCGTTACATATTGTAATAATGTTTGGATGACCAGTGTTTTACCTTTTCATGAATAAAGCTACATAATGATTAGTTAAAAAGAAATGGTTATATCAATACATCTTAATTACAATGTGACCGATTTCTTGACTGAAGGTTTTCTAAGAAGATTGATTGTCTTAACCTATCTATTGTGGCAATACCAGGAAAATATTAGCCGAAATAGTTTATCTTTCATTTATAATGATAGAAATGGTAACTTTAATGAATATTGTTTGAGACTATTATAACATCTCCAAAGTCATAAGTTTCCATCCTAGGTACTTAGGGATGGTAGGTCAAAGATGTTCTCTTTTGAAAAGTTACGAACTAAAATGAAACAGAAGTCCAACAGACATCTCATTTTTTTAATGAGAACACTGTATAAATTCCATACATTCATTTGAATCAATCATTTTCTGCAAACTATTTAATTTAAAAATTTAATTTTATTAAACTTTATTTAATAATAAATTAATTTAATAAAACAAAATATTTACCTAATGTTATTTGTTTTACATCTTTGACTTATTTTCTTTTGATCCAACTAAACAAGAAACTTAGAATCAAATCAACTACCCTTAAATTTCTTTAAAAAATAATAAACTGTCTTGTATAAATCTGTTCATCCATAATCTTCAATCTCAAATGGATAGTAAACAAAAATTATTAAGTTAATTACTAACTGGCAGATATAATGCATGATATATATTGTGTGAATATAACAACCTATACCATATTTACAGTCATTTTCTATCTGATTAGAAGCATCAATGTGGAAAATATAACTTATGTAAACTAATCGGTAGTTATATCAAACATATCCAACTAATGCTTTGACTGATAACCTATAATAATAGAAAACAAATAAGCAAAATCAACCGTTCGTATAAAAGTTATTAAAAAAACAATAGTAATCAAAAAATAACTAGGATTAACTGTAAAATTCTTTTGGTGTTGCTTACTTGAAACTTCCCATTGATGTTTAGGATTGCAATTGATCAGTCTCTTATTGGCATATGTGCATCCTGTTCAGATTGCTTCGATAATGTCTTAATTCACAAGAATCATAAACAAAGATCGGTAGTGGTTATTAGTGGAATCTAGGAATCGAGTTCCATCCTATATGCAACTGGTCAGCTGGATGTACCTGCATTTCAGAGTTGATGTTCACTGTGTGACTCAAACCCTTTACCGTTCTCTTCAAACGCCATCGTGTTATTCACTTAGCTACTGAGTTGTAATGGCCACTTGCTCGTTCAATTGGGTGGAGTTTAAATTCACTTGATATTGTTTACTTGAATCTTCCAAATTATGTTTAGGACTTCAATTGATCAGTCTCTTATTGGTGTATGTGCATACTGTGCGTACTGCCTCGATATTACCTTAATCCGCATGCAGGTACATCCAGCTGACGAGTTCAAAATAGTACGAAACGCGCGTTCTGGATTCCACTGCTAGCCACTATCTACCTTTGTTTATAGGACTAAATGTGATAGAACCTTTCAAAATGGTATAGATAAACATCAGATCTACAGAAATATTCAAACAAACCCTCTATCGCATGCTTTGTATTTTTCATCTTTGATAGCTTTATAGATTTATAATTATATCGAAGTGTTTGAATTCTTATAGTTAGTGGTTGAAAACTAAATAATAACCAGTACCATAATTATCAAGTTCTTAGTGCTGATTGATCAGTTTGCAATTTGTGGACCAATTGAATAATAATGTATTCTAATCAGATAGGGAATATTAGTTTATCTAAGACTGAAGATTTACTTTATTGACAAGTACTAATTAGGATGAAGTTTTCAGTTTTCAGTTAGTTCAACTTTTATTCATATAAAAAAAATCAAAAATAATGACGAATATATTAACTTTTGATTTCTTGTTCATTACTAAGATGTAGTACATAGGGAATTTCGCAAAAAAAGATTGTCGTAAATAATCTGTCAATTTTAAGCATCTCTAATATTTTCAACCTTGGTACATTACATAGAAGAATTCATTAAACAATTTATTATAAAGTTTCTTTCGCTTAAGTTACAATATGCGACATAGTTAATGTCATTGATAAATAGGAACGCATTATACTATTTTTTGTTGTCAGTTACTTAGTACTAGAAAGATTAAATGCATCTTTAGCAGAAAGAAAACGGGAAAGGAGTTCAAAGTGTTAAAGTAAATAAATTATCGATTACATGTTCTGTAAGGCACTTTTTTTAATGAAAAGTTGAGATTCTTCTAGTTTAGTGAACCAGATCAGTCAACGAAATGAGAATTAGGCATCAACTGTAGGGATGTAAAAATATATATTTCCATATAGAAAGAAGGAAAATAATTTATAATTGCACCATCTGAAACATCTATGTACTCAATACAACAATGAATACATAAATCATGGAGAATATCAATTAATTGACGATAAAAATATGGAAAAAAGTTTTCCTTCGTAAAATTAGAATGTAATAATAACTAACTCATTCTGAGGGATTTAAAAAACGATAAACATTTTAGAAACAAAAGATAAACATAAATATCCTCTACTGGGATATCATAATTTCATATTGCACTCATCAGGTTATGTACCAGCCGCCCACCAGCATTCTCCAACCCACTCTGTCCTGGGCCTTTTTTTCTAGTCCCATCCAATTCTTGTTCATTTTTCTCATGTCTATTTCCATTTCTCGGTGTAATGTGTTCTTTGGTCCTCCTCTTTTCCTTTGGCCTTCAGGATTCCATGTGAGGGCTTGTCTTGTGACGCAGTTTGGTGCTTTCCTCAATGTGTGTTCTATCCACTTCTAGCGCTTCTTCCTGATTTCTTCTTCCTCTGAGAGTAAAAGCGCGATAAATATTAAATCACATTCTTATGACGAAAACTAGCAAATAAGTAATATAATAGGAATGATTTACACAAGGAAAAGTTGATATTCAATGTACATGATATCGATTTATTTTGTTTAGCATAGGAATGGCTTGTGGAAGTTATAGAATTTTCATAGTTTAAAGCACAACGTGATCTTTGCTAGACCACCATTGAAAACGTGAAAGCACCGGACAGCCGTTTCCTGTTTGTATGAGGCTACTCGAGGGCATAGATCCACGACCGCACTACCAGAGTTAGAACGCCTGAACTCAATTCAGAGTACTGTGTGACCATCTCCGTTGCCTGTAATAGATAACTGTCTCATACCCGACTTGGTTAAACTCGACTAGACACGGACTCACACTTGAATTTCAGCCACTGTATCTTAATGAAAGTCACTACTGAGAACATGATTATTATGAGTATAGGAAGATTTTGTTTTCCACTTATTTTCATGACTTCTGTAAACAATAACAATAACTTCATGATGTTTTCCTTTTAAATGTATGAACTTCACCAAAAAAGAACATCGATATTAATAACCATTGTTTTTAAATTATTTATCATAATTATTGTTTTCATATATTTCTTATTTTGAATGATTAAACCAATTTTCCAGATGTTACACGTGTAATAATGGGTCAAACGATAGGTGGATTATGTTATGGAGTTTTTGGAGGTCAACCATTACTTGTACTTTTATCAACAGCTCCACTAGCACTATACATAAAAAGTAACTTATTTGTTTTTAATTCAACATAAATATTAATGTATTAAATAATCTTATAGCAAAAGGTATATTATTCAGATGGTATTCAAAAGTGTATATGTGTGTGTGTTTTTCTCAATATAGATAAGTAAGCCTTTATTCGATATATATCAACTATTTCAATTTAGGATATTTCAAATTATTCTATTTCGATAAGTATTTTGCACTTTGTAACCATGAACAAAAGTTATTCACATTTCTCTGTCTATACATTTGATGAATCATGAAAGAATGATACTAGATACGTGAAAGTAATAGAAATAAAATTTAAACTATTTGTAAGGTAATCTCAAACAAACTTATGTCAATACATATGTCAGAATTCTTGTCTGTAATTTGGTTGATAACGGGAGATTAAAAAGAAGCAGCTATTCTTATTTCTTTTTTTGCTTGACTTGCGTGTTTCAAGTCTGTAATACAATCTTAAAACTATTCATATCTTCAAATTTTCGTATTACTTTTCAAACAGAAACACTTATCTTTCAAACTGTTACTAATCAGTTTGCTTTCTATGATGAAATCCTTTGGTTCTAACTCAGAATAACTCAGAATTTTAGAGAAACTCATCCTAACACAAGTCTTTAATTGTGTGTGGTTTACATACACGTTTAGCTCTGGTTTGTTTAGATATAACTATTTCCAATTACTTGTTTTGAATCTTTGCTAACAATTGAGAATAAAACAAAGGTGTCTTAGAAATCTTTCATCAAGAAACTGTAAATTAACCCTACAACTTGTTTGAACTATGATATTTAGCGTTTAGTCTGAACTTAAAATTGTGTAGATAATTAAACGGGCTGTATTGAAATAATTTACGATTCTATTTTAAATTCTTCTGGCTACTTATCTAATGAAATCAGGCTTCCAATGGCCCACAATTTAAATTAAAGTATTTATGCTTCATTTAATACTTCCAGCCAACATTAGATATTCACTTATTAACATATATTATGCTAATCTCTTCAGATAACATGATTTATTGACATTAATGAATATATGACTGTTAGGAGTCCACAAATAAAAATGCAATAATTATCTTTTTATTCACTAATAGGTAACACGATTCAATTGAATATGATTTATTAGTCTATAAACAAATCATATACATCTCTTACGTACTTACTCTTTTTGCCTCTCATGGAAGAGCATAAGCCGTCCACCAACACTCTCCATCCAACTTTGTCCTTCGCAATCCTTACTAGTTCTTTCCAGTTGCTATTCATATCTGCTTCCGCTTCCAGACGCAGTGTGTTTTTTGGCCTTCCTCTTTTCCGTTTCCCTTCAAGAGTTCGGGTTAGCGCTTGCCTCGTGATGCAGTTTCATGATTTCCTTAATGTGTGTCTTATCCACTTCCAATGTCCTTTCCTAATTTCCTCCTCAGTTGGAAGTTGGTTTGTTCTTTCCCTCAGTAGGCTGTTGCTGATGTTATCCAACCAACGGACATTGAGTATCTTGTGTGGACAATTGCTTATAAGTACTTGTACCTTTTTGATGATGGTTGCGGTAATTCTCCACGTTTTAGCTTCATACAGTAGGACTGTCTGGGCGTTCGTATTGAAAATTCTGACTTTGATATTGGTTAACAGTTATTTTGAATTCCAGATGTTTCTAAATTATAGAAATACTGTCCTTGCTTTGCCAATCCTCGCTTTTACATCCTCATCAAATCCTCATTTTACATCGACGATGCTGATTCATGTACATGAACGTTTCCACATCTAGAGCTTCTCCTTATAACTAGGAATTAAAAATCCGATTCCAAGTATTTGTAAGCTTATTGTATACAAAAATTATCCAAATCTAAGAGAAAAGTTACAAACTCTACTCTTAATATTTAATCGTTGAATTTCAAATTTAATAATTACAGTTCAAATGCTTATAGGATTTCCTCTCATATTCAAATGTTGAAAGTTATTACCCGCCAATATCATTTCATCACATTTTATTTAAATTTTATATTGAATACTCTATTTTAACCATATCATTATTATTGTTCAATGTACAATTTATAAATTTCATTTCTTTTTAATCTTTTTTTATCCCAGTTATTTATACCATATCTGAAACATATTCCATTAATTTTTATGCAATGTATGCATGTATTGGATTGTTTAATAGTTTATTTTTAATCATTTATTCTGTTTGTGGATTTAGTCGTTGGATGAAATGGTCTACAAGGTTAGTTATAAATTGTTTTTTTCTTCTACACTCCTTGTCATTGAATTGATATAAACGAGATCGTACCAAATTTTAAAGTCCATTTTGATAATAATAAAAATTAACACATAACATTTGTTATTATGCGTAACAAAAATATTTCCACTATAAAATCTAATTAAATCAAACTTTCATAATCTAAATCATTAAAGTTAATTAAAAATGATAAAATTCACTTGGTATTGTTTATTTGAATATTCCCATTGATGTTTAGGATTGCAATTGATCAGTCTCTTATTGGCATATGTGCATCCTGTTCAGATTGCTTCGATAATGTCTTAATTCACAAGAATCATAAACAAAGATCGGTAGTGGTTATTAGTGGAATCTAGGAATCGAGTTCCATCCTATATGCAACTGGTCAGCTGGATGTACCTGCATTTCAGAGTTGATGTTCACTGTGTGACTCAAACCCTTTACCGTTCTCTTCAAACGCCATCGTGTTATTCACTTAGCTACTGAGTTGTAATGGCCACTTGCTCGTTCAATTGGGTGACGGTTAAATTCACTCAGTAGCCAAGTTAATAATGCGATGGCAATTAAAGCGAATGGTACTGTGTTCGAGTTTCAGAATGAACATCAACTGTGAGATGCCGGTACATCCAGTTGATTAGTTCGAAAGAGGAAGAAACGAGTGTCCTGGATTCCACTGCTAACCACTATCCATCTTTGCTTAAAATGTTGATTAGTTTAATAAACATTTCTATTGTAAAAATCTGAAAGTAAAAAGTTATTTAGATGCGTTTTGAGTACCGTGAGCTAAACGATTTATTCAAATAGTTAACATAATATCGAAATGAGCTTATTAGGTATTCAACGTCTCTTAAATCAGTTTATTCTAGTGGCTTTAATTGTAATCGGTTAGTTTCACAGATTTCATTCTTTCCATCTGTCTCTGTATTTTAATTGATCTATTTTTACGGTCAATATTTCATCAGATTATTGCTTGAGGTTTTTCAAATGGGTTGATAAATCAGGTCTACTGACTACTGATTGATTTGAGGCTTATCCTTTGAGAAAATCTCTGAGGAATTTTTAGATTCCCCGCAGTTTAAAATGTTGATATTTTTTAGTTCAATTTACATCTTCATACATTAATATCATTGATATTATACCACATTGTTTTATTAATAATTTGCATTCGTTTATGGATACGTGAAGAGGGTGTAAATGATTCATAATTTCAAAATATTATTTTGTTATTTGTCTACATTCTACAAGTAACATTATTATTACTAAATTTTATCTGTTACATATATAAGCTTATTATTTTAATGCATTACAAATGAATAATGCTTTTTAAAGGGGAAATAACAAACGAAGTGTATTTTTCTTCTAAATAAAAAAAATTACTAATGTGGTGTGTGTTATTGATGTCGACAGATATAAGTAGTATATGTCATCAATCAAAAGGGAAATGCCTGGTGGCAGAATGTTAAGGAGATCAAAGAGTAGAGAACAACCACAGAGAGGGATTGATGTAAAATAGAAGAATCAGTCAAGTCTGTGACAATTGTTTGACATTCTGCAAAACGCATAGTCAGGTTTGATACAATTGATTGACATTTTGTAAATAAAGAATATACTGAATGGTTCTCAGATTTATTAAGAGATTCTGTTATTATGTGTTGTAATAAATTTGATTGTCCCCAATGTTGTGTTCTCATTCACCACACTAACATGTATTGGAAAAAATCAATAATTTGTCCAGTGGAGCTAATCCGTGTCTGGTAGAAACAGTTGTCTACCTCAGTACAATGGAAGATGGTCGCGCAACTTCGTGGATTGGTTGAGGTTAGACATTAACACCATCGGATCCCGGCCCAGTGACTCAGTAGGTTAAGCGTTCGCGTGCGAGACTGAAGGTCCCAGGTTTGAATCCCGCGAGCGGGATCGTGGATGCGCACAGCTGGGGAGTCCCACAATAGGACGAAACGGCAGTCCATTGCTTCCAGGTTTTCAATGGTGGTCTTACATCAATCGATTCATCATCTCAATCAAAAAATAATTTGACTGTTTTTATTTAAATTGTGCACTTATTAATCTATTCTCATTACTTCATTAAACTTCTTAGTTATTTAGTCAGTTTATATATTAATAGTACTTAGTCATCTCAATTAATTTATTCATTCATCTTTCTACGTAAATGGTCTCTATATTATTTTGTTTTGAATAGATAATATTCTATTGAATGTTTGATTGAATAATAATAATAGTGGTAAATATACTTGTTAGAGAAAAATGAATGAATAAATATAAAGTATACCCATTCATTATATCAAAATTCCTATTATTCTTTTTCTATATGTAAGTGATAAGTGTTCTTTTTACTTTTGCTTACTCTTTCTCTCTTTCTATTCACTTATATTGTTTTCTATCTGAATGTTTGTTTCTATTTATTACTATGATTATGTTACTTAGTCTCAAAAATTTCTTTTTGTTGCATAGAATGACTGATTTTCTCTTCCTAAAGTAATGAATTTCTTTATATTGTAAACAATATGTATGTTATGCTCTATGTTTTAAACGTTTATTTTATAGAATTAATCAATTAGTATTTTATTATGACACTAGGAAAAGCTGAACATTATAATGAATGAAATAGACTTATTTATATATTTCATTGTGTATAACAATAATTTCACTCTTGTTTTTCACACAAATATTCATTTAATTGTAAAGTTTTGTGAAGAAACTGACTTTTTTTCTCATTAGTACACCAGATTCCATTCTTTTCTTTCATAATAATGTGAATAAACGAATTAAAATAGTCACTCTTTTTATAGAACCAAATGTTTTACGAAAAAAGACTTGTTCCTTTTTGTTCGTTTGCCTATAATTTACACTGGGAGCACTGAACAGGCGTTTCGTCGCAGTATGGGATCTCTTAGCAGTGCGTATCCACGACCTTGCTCCGCGGGATCCGAACCCAGGAGTTATCAGTGTCGCGCGCGAACGCTTAATCCCTAGACCACTGAACCGGCAGGCATCCAACAGTGTTAATATCTAACTTCAACCAGTGCCACTATAAATAATTTGGTAATAATAATAATAAAGCCACTACTTCTACTGGCACTATAATACTCCAGTAATCACGAAGTTTCTAAATCTAGCTAATCGAGACATTCTTTGATGGTGTTAAACTCATTTTCAATCAAAACAGTTCTGTTATTTATCCTGAAAAGTAGAACACTAATGTTATTTTTACATTTTCATTCAAGTTTATTTCAAAACTATGAGATGATCGAATATTGAGGAAATTACCGAACCAACTACTTAATTAGTCAAGAACTGATCTATGTTAAATAGTTACACAGTTTTGTAATAATTACAAATACGTTAACTTCCTTCCACTAATGTTTACATCTGAATTTAACGTATTTTTTTAATTGTTCAGCTTAATTGTATTGTAGTGAACAGAACACAAGTGGGGACAATCGAATGCATATGACACAAAATTGCAGGACCTGTTAATAAAATCTAACAATCAAATAGTAAACACGTAATTTGCAAAATGTCCACCGATTGTCTCAAAATGACTCAGATTTCATTGTTCTTGCATTTCCATACAAATTGCATTCTGTTTCCATTCTGTACTGTTCGATCCTCTTGTCTCTCTTGTTCCAGACTTTCTGTTTACGACTAACATCATATACTACTTGTGTCAATATAAGTAGCACACACCACAGTATCTATATATTATCTCATAATTGCAGTGAAGTAAATTTCTTATTAGGCTGGATAACCGAAAACATTTTATTGGTGACATATTGTTGACATTATATTTTTTCTTGTTACGATTAGGGTTAAACAGAATCAACAAACTGAGAGTAAATGAATATCTCCTTATAATAACACATTAATATACAATCAAGGAACTGAAATGAAGTCAGAAGTTGCGTATCTGCTTTATTAATATTGATTGGAATCTTTAAGTTTCTTTCCAAATTTTATCATCATTCTAAAAGTTGGCTTCGTCATAAAACTTATGTACTATTACACAATACCAACGGCAATCGTACTTAATACTTTATGTACATAAATCATGTATGGTATTTTGTTAAAAATCATAAAGTATATTTCGAATGCAATTTACTAATCAATAAATATGAATAATATCACTACATGAAAAAGAAACATAAATCATAGGGATTTTTTAAATCTTTTCACAATTGACTGGTCACTGAATAATAACCAATTTCAGGTACGTTAAATCCTTCTTGGCGCTGATTGAATTCTATCATTTGAGTTGCATTGTTGTCACTTATCTCAGTGGCTCAGCATCGTGTGGACTATGTTGAGATGTAAAGTGATGGTACGAGGTAGTCGATAGAAAAACTAAACCTAGGCATCTTTCTGTTTGGCGATCGTCATTATGGTATATCTGTAATCCTAAGGGAACTGCTGCCCACTGAACGGTTCGATCCCGTGTCAGAGATGTAACCATTCAGCAGTCCGGGCCACGACTGACCTCCCGTAGTACTGAGATAAATTTACAAATAATTGAACAGTGGGTAGTGACAAATATTATATATGTGAAGTTCTTCTTGGTTCTCATCAAATTATACTGGTCAACCACGCTGATGAATATCTAGAGTCACGAAACCTAGGCCCAGGCTTTCCTGACGGCTATCTCTAACCACCACCTTAAATTTCTAAATCACACTTCCATGACGTTGGATAAATTAAATTATTTAACCGTCGAGTAATAATTGACGTATGTATTAAAAGTTCCGTTATATTCTTTGTCTTCGATTAAATGAAATATATCGGCCTAGTATCTGATCTTGTATTCAATACTAGTTTTTCTTTTCGATAGATCGACAGAAGAGATATTCGCTATGTTTGTTTCAATGGCATTTTTATACGATGCTGGGAACGATTTATATGCAAGTACGTATCTGTTCATGCAGATATATATATTTTTTCCTTTGCATAGAGATTTATTTGCTGAACTTTATATCTATGTTACAAACAGGTTATCAACTTACTGTTGGCTTCTTTTTTCCTTCTATTTGAATTACATTTTATTCAAATCACTAATATAAGTTTGAGTATCATTTATTCTCTACAAATTCAGTGAGTATATTTCTTAGGATGACCACTGTCAAAATTATAATAGTTCAAGTTCCAAAATGATTGTTTCTACTGGCCTACAAGTTCCATTTATGCATGAATTCCAAATGAATCAAAATAACAGGAGTCTTAGGCAGATCATAAAATACAAAAGTATTGGCGTTAATCCTACTTTTCAAATTCAAATATCGACGTAATTATAATTCAGAAACTAATTAGAGATATTTATATCTTTGTTAAGTTTTTTCTGACCTGATTATTTTGTCATTAAGGAACTGATGAATACCGCATGGTGTGTTAGGCTTTATTAATGTGTGATTATTTTAAAATTGAAAATGATTATGCATTCAAAAAACCGTAGTTCTATTTTAGGCGGTCAATAATTTCAAGTTGTATATGGGGACAGAACAAACAGACAGTAATTATTCACTGTGAAAATAACTCAGTCTTCGAATAGTGAAACGATCATTTTTGGTAATAAGATGAACACTAATGTTTTCAAGATAATTATACACCTTGATGACAAATTTCAACTATCATAAAACTTAGTTATATGGCTTTTTACCTTTTATTAACTAACAAAATAAATTTTATAATCATTTAATTAACTATTTTAGAGAAAAAATATGTACATTAGTGTTGTCTCCTTATGGAATTCATCAGAAGTGCTGCGTCATACGAAATTGAACCTGATGTCTGAAGGTCCCATGATGAAATCAAAACATTTACCCTAGTATCAGAATCATTAGCTCAAATTTTTAAAATTTTATAATATTTATACAAAAACTACACTTTTTGGATCAGAATTAGTATTGTTGCATACTTCGGTCTCGGTCTTAGGTATTAAATCACATTATCCACAGAAAATTAATAATCGTTTGTATAAATAGAATAACGGTACTTTCTAACTGTTCTGTTTTGGGGTATTGATGCAACACAATATTAAAGTAAGTGAGCAAATCATCACTGTTAAGTACACAATAAAACTAGTGATAACACTTAAGAAAATGTATCTACATAATTGTTAATGTAAAACATGTATAAATTTCAAGCATAATATGACTTATCAATAGTGACAACAAGTAAAGTAACTAGTGATAAAAGGTGAACACATAGGAACAGTTTCCATTTTTATTTAAAGATTTCATTCTTTACAATTCAGATAGAATATTGACGATTGTATTTGTTTAGGAAAGGTTAAGTATTTGTATAAAACTAACATTTATGATAAATTCTTTTATTATTGAACAAAAAATATGTTTTAATTAATTTAATAAATTAATTTACTGATCAGAAATCTAAGTTTATATAAAACATAAATGATGTTGTGTTAATGAAGAAGAATATGCTTAATTACCAATAGGTATATTCACTAAGCTATTTTATACTATTCTATTTGTGATAAAAGAAATTAATCACACAATTTCTTATTTATTTCCTAATAAGCTAATTAGTATTAAGTAAGTTGTCTATGTATTATATTTACGACATGTATGAAAACTATTGTAGTTATGCTACTTTATTTTTAAACTAGAATGATTTGCTTCATTTACGTTTGTTATTTTTCATTATATCTCGAAGCAAATTGTTTTTTTACCTCTCTTTTTCTCTCTTGCTCACTCACTCTTTATTTTTTTTTCCATCTTTTCATTTATTCAAGCGTTTCAAGAAAATTATCATTGTAATTTATTAACAAATTATTCATTAATATCAAATGAAACTTTGAATATTCAGGGATTTCATATAAATTTCATTCATTCAAATTATTCATTTAATAGAATTTCTATAGAAAATTGTCCTGAAATATTACCAACCAAATCATTCCCATCATCATCAACGTCCTCTACATTGCCATCATTACCATCACAACATACAAATAGAAATATTACAATTATCCAGTCAGGATGTCAACGTGAAGTTGCACTAGTTTATTTAGTTTTACTTCTAGGTACAGTATGGATCGCATTGAATCTTTTAAATTTTACTAAAACGTAAGTTTATTTATTGTTAATAATAAAATGCTAATAGTTTACATAAAACGTTCTTGAATGATTGTTCCAGTGAAAGAAATATTGAAGGCTTATTATCACTATAAATTGACGATTGTTGATTTGATTTGACTGTGTTTCTTGTTGTAATAATGTTTATGAACAGGATGAATAGTATTTGCATCAATTAATCACTAAGTAAATACCGAAATGTTTTTCTAGCCCCTAGAATGATGATGATGAATTCTATAGGTCACACTATAAAGACACTTCATATTATTATTATAATTTGTCAGTTCAATCTAAGACAATACCAAGTAGAACATAAGATTGATATCACATAATTAATAATCATTTTTGTTCAAATAAACATCTGCATATCATTAGACACCAGATTAGTGTGATGAGAATGATACTGGCTTCAATATTTAAATGTGAATAACTTCTTAAAGTATTAGTTCAGATGTCAAACTATTAGTCGAGAGAAAATGTGTACGTTTTCCACAAACATCCTTTAAAACAAATAATTTAAACTCGATTCGTCTGCTGTGAACAAATATATTTGTCACTTAGATTTGCTTACATGAATGCGATATAAATAAACCATAAGCAAACTTATTCAATACATTTTTAGTAATAAAATTAACTATTTTAATTCCATGTCACAGATGTTTATTAGCATTTCATAGTTTTACAAAACACTGCCCTCAAATGCCCTGGTATGGATGAGTGAGAGGAGAGTCAGCTCTCACTCGAAATGCTCTCACATGGCCACATGTATACAGAAACTGGGGGTGTTGTTTACGAAATTGAGAGGATTAGAGGCGAATATCAGGTGCTTTAACCGGGTTGTGGAAACGGAGGATTCACCTGGGGTAGTTGGAAAACCCTGATTCCAAACCAATAATGTACATGGACTCCAGGATCCTGGAGGAACAAATGGCGTATGAACCTATTGTTGATCGCTGGCTACCATGGGACTGCATCTCCGGACATTGCTCCAATGCCTTGTGGATCAGACCTTTAGGTCGAAGGCTCCGGGTGTGACTCCCTAAGAAAACCACCTGCTTCGGTTTGGGCACCCGGGCAGTATCACAGCCCACACATGAACCAAGTGACTTGTGTGTCGCATATGTATTCGGTGCCCTTTGTACCAATATTCATGTTCAAATAAATAAATAAATTGCTGACTTGATAAGTTGAAGTGAATACTCTTTCAAAGAATTCAGTGTTCCTTTTCTGTAGTGAAATGATTAATTAGAAAACCTACTTTCCTGATTGAAATAAGCTATAATATAGCTACTTTAAACATTTGATAACTGGTATATATTCCTTTTTATTACAAGGAAATATAAACGTTAACTATATTGATTTAAACTAACAATTTACTGACAAAAAAATGATCCTTAAATTCTAACTGAATAGATTTTAAGAGAGAGAAACATTATCTACTTGAATGAACACTTAGAATTAAAGTTATAATTTCCCATCTAAGTAAATTTAGTTGTAATGGTATTAGCTATGAGTTACTCGTAAACAATAATCATAAATGGGATTACATTACAAAAGTTTTATTAGTTTAACTCATAAGTAAATCTAAGCTAGACTATCATTGAAAAACCTAGGATGAAACAACCGTCCAGTGCTTCAAGGTTTTCGATTGTAGTCTAGCTTAGATTGACTCATAAATTCAACTATTAAAAATTACTGCAATCTTTACAATTTAATAATTGATTAGTAAATAAAGTTCCATTGAATATAACAATCAAATTTAGATATATTAATAATGTTAGATTCCAGTGATATTTTCCATAAACATTGTCTGGAATTAGCCGAAGGTAGTCACATTGTTTCTGGTATGATTGTTTCAATGATAAATGTGTTGACTGAATAATTCATAAATATCGTTTAAAGATCCCCGTCATATTAAAAGACTAATATTTGAACGAAGAATATTCTTTTCGATAAATTCTCTTCAGGTTCTACAGTTATATATCCAAATTATTAATCCGAAAAATGGCCAAGTTAAGGGTAAAGTACATCGTTTAGAGCATGTGAATTTAGGATTGTGATAAACAAATTACAATAAAATTGTTAATGTTAATATGACTCATATAGAATGTTAACTTGAATCTGCGTATATGTTAAATGAAATTTTAAGATCCATGATCAGAATAAATATGGGTCAAATAGGGTGAGACAGAAATAATAGTGCAATTACAATTCGATCAAATAAGTAAGACGTAATACGGAGGAATGAATGCGAAGTGAATGAATCATGTAAAGGGGAGATTAATGATATTTAACCAATAGTACGAATAATAATAATAATAATAATACAAAGATTTATGAATAAAGATAACAGGGACAATTACAATTGACTACGAAAGGTCATAGTCAAATTGGGTCATTCAATAGTTAAGATTACGATTGATTAATTGGCCTTGATGTTGGCCAGGGGAGGAGGAGTGGCTGAATATATTTCTTCTGTACGCATAGCTCCGGTTTCTTCATTCGGATGGCTACTGCTTCAGCCGTTTGAAGGACTTTCAGTCTGACCAGTTTTGGCAAAAAATTACTGACCTTATAAATAATTGAAAAAGATTGGTTTATACTGGCACTATGACCGGTTTGTACTAAATGGGCCAATATTGAGCTGTTCACCTTCTTCATCAAACCTTTGTTTAACCACGCCGGAAGGTGTTCACGAGCACGAAAATGTAAATTCCTAGAACTTCGACCAATATAACTCGCTCCACAGGAGCAGTTGAACTGATAAATACAAAATGAGGTGGTCATTCTAGGTAATTCATCTTTTAGCTTCGGTGTAACCATTGGGCGCGTAGAAAATACTAATCGCAGTTCTCCGGCGTTAAAAGACTTTTGTATTGTCCTACGTAGTCTCTGAGTTAGTATTTCGCTAGCCGCATCCCCTCTGAATTGTAGACGCATGAACAAGGATTTCTTCTTCACTGTTTGTATTTCGCCTACTTTCGCCTTCGTGACCATATATTTAATTATAAACTTTCTAGGGTAGCCGTTCTCCCTGAGAGTATTATGCAAGGTGGTAAGCTCTTGTTCGACTATATCAGCAGAACATATAGTGCGAATACGGTAGCTAAGGTTTTTGATCAAATTTCGTTTGTACTGTAGAGGTACAAAGCTCAGGAAATTCGTACAAGAGCTTACCACCTTGCATAATACTCTCAGGGAGAACGGCTACCCTAGAAAGTTTATAATTAAATATATGGTCACGAAGGCGAAAGTAGGCGAAATACAAACAGTGAAGAAGAAATCCTTGTTCATGCGTCTACAATTCAGAGGGGATGCGGCTAGCGAAATACTAACTCAGAGACTACGTAGGACAATACAAAAGTCTTTTAACGCCGGAGAACTGCGATTAGTATTTTCTACGCGCCCAATGGTTACACCGAAGCTAAAAGATGAATTACCTAGAATGACCACCTCATTTTGTATTTATCAGTTCAACTGCTCCTGTGGAGCGAGTTATATTGGTCGAAGTTCTAGGAATTTACATTTTCGTGCTCGTGAACACCTTCCAGCGTGGTTAAACAAAGGTTTGATGAAGAAGGTGAACAGCTCAATATTGGCCCATTTAGTACAAACCGGTCATAGTGCCAGTATAAACCAATCTTTTTCAATTATTTATAAGGTCAGTAATTTTTTGCCAAAACTGGTCAGACTGAAAGTCCTTCAAACGGCTGAAGCAGTAGCCATCCGAATGAAGAAACCGGAGCTATGCGTACAGAAGAAATATATTCAGCCACTCCTCCTCCCCTGGCCAACATCAAGGCCAATTAATCAATCGTAATCTTAACTATTGAATGACCCAATTTGACTATGACCTTTCGTAGTCAATTGTAATTGTCCCTGTTATCTTTATTCATAAATCTTTGTATTATTATTATTATTATTATTCGTACTATTGGTTAAATATCATTAATCTCCCCTTTACATGATTCATTCACTTCGCATTCATTCCTCCGTATTACGTCTTACTTATTTGATCGAATTGTAATTGCACTATTATTTCTGTCTCACCCTATTTGACCCATATTTATTCTGATCATGGATCTTAAAATTTCATTTAACATATACGCAGATTCAAGTTAACATTCTATATGAGTCATATTAACATTAACAATTTTATTGTAATTTGTTTATCACAATCCTAAATTCACATGCTCTAAACGATGTACTTTACCCTTAACTTGGCCATTTTTCGGATTAATAATTTGGATATATAACTGTAGAACCTGAAGAGAATTTATCGAAAAGAATATTCTTCGTTCAAATATTAGTCTTTTAATTCATAAATAGTTTCAACTTTATTTATCTTTGATGATTTTCATTATTTTATAAAAAGATATTCGGGATAAACTTGAAACAGCTTCATTTCAACCGTTAAAATTTGTACTAACATAATTTCGTGGTTTTCATACATATTGAGCCTAATTTTTATGAAGATATTCGCTCGAATCATGATAAAATTTCATATAAACCATCAGAAGTATTGTTTTGAATAATCTTTGTATATTTTATTGAGATTTTGCTTGTCATCTTAACGGAATATTGGGAGAATTCTTCTTTAATACACGGACTATTAACCAGAATAATGACGAAAAGGAACAAGTCACTATCACTGGAACTTTTTGCTTTTAGCATGATAAATTAATGACTTCTTGCCATTTATGGAATTTGAATCGAACTATGTTTATCGGTAAACTCCTTTCCAAAATAGCTTTATATACTGATATCAAATGAGTAGATCAAATAGTTTACATAAAACTCAACTGTTTAGTATCTAGTGAGTAACTAAAATTTTACCAAATACTTACTGTTCTGTTCAAATTAGAATTTGACTTGACTTCGCAAAGATTACATCTAAGTTGAACCCTTTCATTAGATATTCTTGATCTATATGCGATGAAATAATCTACATTTTAATGTGAAAATCCCTTAACTATCATATTGTATAATTA